AGAGCGATTTTGAAAGAAAGAAGAAAGCCATACAATGAGTTTAGAGCTAAACCCTAAAAGGAATAGGTTTGGGTGGTTTTGCCGCCTCAGATGGCGTGGGGTGGGAGAGTAAAAGGAAGAGCCCTCGACATTCAGGCTCCAGCAACGAATCATCAAATCACGATACACTCGAAACTGCACAGTGGCTAGATACTTCCGCTTATTCGCCATTCTACGGCAAACCCTAAACCCCTAAACCCCTAAACCCTAAATAAACCCCTAAACCCTCAACCCTAAACGTCTAAGCCCCTAAAGCCCTAAACCCCCTAAACCCCTAAACCCTAAACCCCCTAAACCTCTCAACCCCTAAACCCCTCAACCCCTCAACCCCTAAACCCCTAAACCCCTCAACCCCTAAACCCCTCAACCGTGAAGCGGAGGTGAGCACTGACGAGTTGAAGGCCGCTGCTGCAGGGCTCACGGAGGCTCGAGACTTAGGGGCAGCGACAAATTTAGGGTCTCCATTCTTAGGGTTTAGGGCTCTAGGGTTCTAGGGTTTTGTGTGTTTAGGGCTTAGGGTTCTGGGTTTAGGGCTTAGGGCTTAGGGTTTAGGGTTTAGGTTTCGGTTTCTAGTGTTTAGGGTTTCTGAACCTGACAGGTTTCAAGACGGAGATGTGCAGGAAGGTGACGGGTTTAAATATAGAAAAGAGGCTGAAACATCAATGACAATGTCCTCCTACAGTCCGTGTCTAGCTGTACCATATACTGTAATCTACCCGCAAACCGTATTCTGATCATGACCATGACGGCTCCTTTCAAGAACTGGCCATGTGACTCCTGGCACCCTGAGCCGTACGCAAGGTTGGTCAGGACTGCTTTGCAAGCTGTTTGCTGACAACGGGTGGCAGATTGCTGCCCCGTGGAAGTGGCATCATAGTGATGCCCAGGAGACGGTCAGTCTCTCAAAGAATGACCCGTCTTGGCCTCCGGATGTTGAGAGACAAGGACACACCCTCAGAGCGGCCTGGCGGCGATGGATGCTTAAGGATTGGAAAAAAAGCACCCGTGGCGACGCTGTACAATTTCAGAAAACTTAACTACCGTGAGCGGCGCATGAAGCCCGTGTGCAGGACTGTGGATGGTAACCCAACACTTATTTCTCCAATACCCAACCTTTAAACTTGTTGGGCTCTTATTATCTAGTAGATCTAGTAGCAATCTGAAAGTTTAACCTTCTATTTTCCTGGCTTGTTGGGGAAGTAAGAACAGCTTCTCACCATCATGGCTGGAGGTTTGCACTTCCCCTGCGGCTGATGCCATAGCCAGAAGTAAATCTTGCAGCTTGTCCAAGGCGTGGTGCTTGCTTGGGTGGTATAATCTTGAACACCTCCTATGGGACCGTCCCGGTTTTTGTCAGGGGTAGACTACGGGATCAACCTGTGGACACCCAGAGAACCCAATACACCTTAATTCAGGAATATACCTTACATTATAGGGGCCTGAATATTATGATTTAAGGTATATTCCCTACACCCTAAACCCTAAGCCCTAAGCCCTAAACCCTAAACCCTAACCCCAATATTCTTTAAGTAAGGGGTATTGGGTTCTCTGGGCAAAGCCCAAGCGCGACTAGCATGGCCATCCGGCGTCCCGACTCCTGCTGGCTCTTGATGGCCAAAATTTTAGGGTCAAGGGATTAAGGTTTCGGGTTACTGGGTTTAGGGTTTAGGGGTTTGGGGGTTTAGGGTTGTTGTAGTGTCCTGCTTGGTTTCAGGCGGTCAAAGAGCTTGTTCTCAAGGATCGGTATGCTGGCCAAAACGTTGACAAATGGATGTTTTGGTTGGCGAGCTCGCTCTCAGCTCCACGTGTTGAGATATCATGGATGATTGCTCTTCTGCCTTTGCCAGGATGGTACTTTAGACCACCCTCCGTCTGATGGCTTTCCCCTTGTAGTCTCTCTCTTGACTTGTGTTACAATGCACCCCGAAAGCCCTAAGCTAATCATCAAAGCTCTTAAGTTCCAGACCCCGGAAGGATCTAGAATCTGAACAGTGGATCACCTGATATATATATATATATATCCCTACACTACTCTACAAGAACCCCCCGAACCCCCCCCTCCCATCATGGGATCTACTTTTTGGAGCCTCCCCTGGGTATCTTCTAGGACATTTTTGTCAGGTGGGTAGTTACCGTTATAGGGGCCTTAAAGAAGGCTTGTATACCTTTTCAGAAGCCTTATAGAAGCCCTACATACCCTCAACCCTAAGCCCTAAACTCTACACCCTAAATCCTAAACCCTAAATCCTAAACCCTCGGCCCGCCTCCTGGACCCTGGGCCTTCTGACTGTGGATTGCAGGAGGAAAAGGGGGCTCAAAAAAAAAAATAGCCCCAAACTCCACACTCCCCACCTCGAGTTTCCTTGAAAATGCCTGGGTTATCTCTGACAGGGTTTAGGGTTTAGGGGTTTAGGGTTTAGGGTTTAGGGCCTCTAGTTTCCTTTAAATGTCTGGGGTTATCTCTGACAGGATTTAGGGTTTAGGGTTTAGGGGTTTAGGGTTTAGGGTTTAGGGCCTCTAGTTTCCCTTAAATGTCTGGGTTTATCTCTCACCCTAAAACCTAAAACCTAAACCCCAAAGACCCCAAACCCTAAACCCTAAACTCCCCCACCTCTAGTTTCCTTTAAATGTCTGGGGTTCTCGCTGACAGGATGACCGCGCGAAGATCTGTGCCGCCTTGGCGCAGGTGGAGGCCCGGTAAGCCTGGCGTTCTCAGGGGTAATGCTGGGTTTAGGGTTTTAGGGTTTAGGGTTTAGGGTTTTAGGGTTTAGGGTTTAGGGGTTAGGGGTTTAGGGTTTAGGGTTTAGGGTTTTAGGGTTTTAGGGTTTAGGGTTTAGGGTATGATCAACAGTAGGACCCTTTTTGAAGAGTAAGGACCCCTGCTGTAAGTAGATTACGATGGGAAGCTTAGCCTTAAGGGGGGCCTATTGGTGGCCTGGCATTCTTCTGGTGGACTCTTAGGACTTTAGGGGTTGAGGGTTTCTGGTTTGGCGTTCTCCTGGTTGACTCTTCGTTCTTCTGGTTGGCTCCTCAATAGAGTTTAGGGATTCAGGGTTTAGGGTTCAGGGTTTAGGGTTTTAGGGTTTAGGGTTGAGGGTTTAGGGTTACATCTTGTGTTCTTCTGGTCGGCTCTTAGGACTTTCACGTTTTGGGTTTCTATATGAACTATAATAAGGACGCTGATTAAAAGTTTAACTTTTAGGAAGGGTTCAGAAGTCAGCCAAGGTAGGAGGGTGAGATTTGATGGGTTTGTTTGAGGCTACAGACTTTACACCTGCTCGGGGCCATAGAGAGAGATTTATGTGTTATCTGTGTGTGTGTGTGTTTATATTTGTGAAAACATACATACATATCCCTTCAAAATGGACAGATTACCCAGATTGCCCCTGCTCTGGCTGCAGTTAGGACTGAAAGTTGTGTCATGCAATGTCATAGTGACTAATGGCTGACAGGTGAAAGCGGAGATGACGGCTGCAGCAACGACGGAGGCACACGCCAGGTTGTCGTTTTGTGTTGGGCGCTGCAGGTATCTATCTCTCTCTTTCTTTCTCGCTTGATCACCCGCTCGTCCTCTTCTTCCAGTTATATCTTTCTTGATTCGCGACAACGCAGGTTCCCTTTTTGGTTACGTTGGATCTCCCTTTGCAGATGCGTATTCGCATTCATCCGTTTTGACCCGTGGACCACCCGCATCATATAGGACAGCCAAGCGGAACCTGTTTGGCCAGGCGGCACCAGCAGAGAAGAAGGAAGAGGCCCCTCCTGCCGAGGAGAAGAAGGAAGAGGCACCCCCTGCCGAAGCAGCTCCTGCAGCTGAAGCGTCCCCTGTTGCCGCAGCTGATGCCGCTGTAGAGGTGAAGAAGGAAGAGGCCCCACCTGCCGAGGCAACGCCGGCAGAAGCCACTCCTGCACCAGCAGAGGCAGCACCCGCCGCCGAACCGACTCCTGCCGCAGCCGAAGCCGCCCCAGCGGAGCCCACCCCAGCCGAGCCCGCCCCAGCAGAGCCCGCCCCAGCGGAGGCCGCACCAGCCGCCGCTGCCGCTGAAGCGCCAGCACCTGCTGAGGCTGCTCCGGCGGAGGAGAAGAAGGAGGAAGCCCCGAAAGCCGCAGCCAAGGACTTCGACGCGGAGATGAAGGCCAAGCTCGAGGACTCCGAGGGTTCTATACAGGTGAGGAAATGATAGGGACTTCGTGAAGATAGGCGCGTAAATAATTAGGGAATGGGTTTGGGGAGTCTTGAATGTGTAACAGTGTAAGAATCTAACGAAGTTGTGTAGGGACTATAAGGGGATGCTACTGCTGCTGCTGCTGCTAC